CGTTAGCTGTAGCTACGCTACTTTTAAGATTTTGTAGCTTTAGCTGTAGCTAGCTACATTTTTAAAGTAGTTGTAGCGGAGTTTTAGCTACTTTTCTCGCTACATTAACATTGTTTGAGATAGTGATTTTTATCATAACCTCAACCTTACGTGAAACAACCTCTTTCAAACTGAGATTTTCAAAAAAATTAGGCCTTACTTTCTTGGCTTCATACAGCTGGTTGCAGCCGTTTCATCCCTATTACAACGTTGTGTGGACATGGAGGCCATTAAAATGAGTGTTATCCACATTTTTGGCTCTCATTTCCTTAATTTACTACTCTATGATTACTGTCAGATAAAATAAAATCGCTAGATGCAGACGACGTTTAAACGTTACCGGTGACAAGAGAAGCTATTGAATGCTTGCAAGTGATTGACAGGGAAATTAGTAATCAATTTAGTTTGTTTATTATACCGATAGTGTTTCAACTTGGATTTTAATGGAAACCAACACTAAACCTTAAAATAATGAGAAAGCTGGTCTATCAACCTTTGCTTCAGCTGTTGATTGTGGTTCATCATCAAAAGCCCTTCCTTGGTTAGATTACGAAGATTTTTCAAAGGTTTACTAAATTAACAAAGAGGAAATTACCTGATGTGATTTAAGATATGTATAGACTAAATGATAATTGTAACGAAAAAATCTCCATATAACATGAAACTTACTTTGAAAAAATAGCATAGTTTGCTCCTGGTAACAGCTCTTGTATAGGACTATTAATTCCTAGGCTATGCTATGGTTTAAGACGAATACCAAGTTCCAAGTTCAATTATTAGGAATCCTATCTGTTTAGTCCTAGCAAGAACAAGCCTACTATAGCCAACTTGTTACATAGCCAAGTAGGCCTACATGTTATTTTTACTTTACAAATTTCAACATGTTTAAATTAAAAGCCTATTTCAGGATAAGTTACTGGATACTGTTTTCTGTACAGTACCAACTAGGTTGAAGTACAATTTGCCCTATGCATAATGACAATAAAGGACGATTTCTTGACATTGAAAAGTGTTATTCATAGAACAAGTAACTTATCACTTAAAAGTTTATAGCAATGTCGTTTTTAACATTAAAATAAAGCAATAAACTCCAATTTCAGTAGGCTAGGCTCTGTAACACAAAAAAGTATTTTTAAATAATCGTTTTACAGTTTTATTGGTCTTAATTGTTGATATAAGACATCTATAAATGAATCTATATTAAAGAAATAAAATGAGCTTTTAAAATATAGTTTGGTTGTATGTCCTTTGAACTTAATGAAATTTACATTTAAGATGCTTAAAAATAATGTGATATTTAAAAATAAGTACTAAATATGATGGGACACCGAACTATTTGGTTCTGTTGTTGTAATGTTAGGTTTATAATGCCAAAAAATTAAATACAATCTAGGAATAATTTGTTTTCCAATTAATGTTAAGATACAATACTGACATTTTTTTAATGTTTGTTCAGTAAAAATGTAGTTGCAATTAATTTTACATTTTCCTAATGTGCGTGGAATAAAAAGTAGGCCTAACGTCTTTGGAAAAGTAGCTAAAATTGTAGCTGTAGCTACATTTCATTGTAGCTGTAGTTGTAGCTAGCTACTTTTTCGGAACTGTAGCTGTAGCTGTAGCTAAGCTACTTTTTTGGAAATGTAGCAGTAGTTGTAGCTAGCTACATTTTAAAAGTAGCTTCCCCAACACTGGGCCTAAGTTTATCATAAGTTTAGGCCTACGTAAATATTCACCAACACCTAAATATCAAAATAACTCCAAGTCTTAGACCTAACAATAATGCAAATTAATAGCTCAGAATAAATCAATTCATTTACATTCACTCTATAAGAAATAATGAATGTAAAATTATATTTCACTTTACCATCAGACCCAGGATAGACATAGTAAATAAAAGTAAAGTCTATTTAACACAAGTCATTTAATTTGAATCAGTATTTTCGCAGAATATATTGAGTAGGGAAGTATTTATTATGAGCAATATCCTTAATGTAGACAAGAATCGATTCAACCACTAATATTTCGTTTAATATTCACACAAAACAATATTTTCCAAGATGTAAATAAACTTGAAGGTTACGTTTATATTTTGATTCAATTCACACAGCTGTATGTAGCTGGAGTGTGTTTTATTTTCAGTCAGCTGATTTCCTGTGCTTGAAACTGAGTTTTACATATGATCAATTTGAAGAAGCAATATCATTGGGCGATTTATTCTGTTTTACGAATCTCGACGCTCATTGGTTCTTGCGACGTGCAGACTGTAGGCAGAGCGCTCTAGTGGAGAAGTTCGCTACCAAGGTGCATCGCAAGGACAGAAAATATAAAATGGCTGACTTTCTGATAAGTGAAAATATGTTAGAAAATTAAGGACGAAACAAAGTGCAGACAAAAATTATTGTTAATGACAATAATTGATATGGTGAATTGATTGAGAAACTTAGAGAAAATATTAAATATCCTAACTAATTCCCGATTTCAAATAACTAAAGGAAATATGACGTGATTCATGTAGCAGTGGGAGGACATGAACATGAAACTAACATGAAATATTCACGTCTGAGATGGCACAGGGGAATGAAATAAAATATTATTTATTCACCAAAACTAGTAATGGAGAATACAAATACTGCTCTAATTATTTAGAGAAGTGACACTTTTAAGAGTTTAGTTGTACAATTTTAACAGTTACAGTAGCTAGGCTAATAAAAGCACAATATATTATTAATGATATGATTTTCGTCCGACTCGACAGGACCAGCGGATGGGGGGTAAACTTGCCTAAAAATGTTCAAATGGACTGTATGTTGAAAGAGCAATGTTAAAAACTTGTCACTAATTATTTAACAGATAATAATGAGATTGATGAGGTACCTTCCTTTTAACTGAAGTGTTGAGAAGACGAAGCCGGTAGACGTACACGAGTTTCTTCTGCTGGCCAGCTATTGCGTATTGCTCGTACACAGACCCGGACCGGCAGTAGTAGTGTTTCACTTCACAAATGTTCAATAGTTCACTTTTAATAATGTGTCACTAATAATAATTAAATATACTTTGGGGTTAAGAGATGAGAGCAGCAATTGGGAGTTAATTGTGCCGGGGACATGTTAGTAGTTGCATGAATGCAAGAGAACTGGGGCGAGATTGGGGTTTCCAGACATCACGTGACAGGACAAAGGTTATTGTATGATATGAAACGTCTGGAAATATCTAGGTAGCGCTTGAATACGGAACAGGTAGAAGAGCCAAACAAACTGGGAAAAAAAATTTATATATACGATTTTTACTTGGGTTATCAATTTTTAATATTGAATTTTGATATATATAGGTCTATATTGTTGATTTATTTGTCAAAAAATACTTAACTTATCAGGCAAGTTTTAAAATAGGCTAGGTATAGGATAACAATTTAAGTTCAGTTCTAACTACCTTTGATTTTCTTTGCTCTAGTAGGTAAGATCAAATAGGCTAAATACCCTGTTGTAATTTGAAAATGTTACACTTTACTGGCATGACATAGTTATAGTTTCCAAAAGCAAATTTATTAAATAATAAATTATGTATGATTTGTTCGACAAGTGTTACTTAAAAGCCACTGGAAATTGACCCTCCTTTAAATTTAGGTTTTTTAAGAAAAATCATAAACGAAACCTTATCAACCTTATCTTGTGACGAATTAAAAACGTTGAACGAGATCAAGAAATAAGTTGAACTTCCTCTAGACAAGATTGTCACAATAAAGTGACAAAACATGTTTTTTTATCGATTGTTTAACGACTCTTGTAATTTTTTAATGCTCTCCTAAATGGTCACTGTTAATTAAATGGATTGTAGTAGTAAACTTAAGTGAAAGCTTAAGACATTTTTAATTTGCAATTGTTATTAAAGTGCTTTGTTTAATTTATTTTGTACACTTTTTGCTGTTGAATAAGTGTTAAGTAAAAATCCTCCTAATTTATTTAATTTTTCCTAAAACATCATTAAAAAAATTAAAAATAAATAAAAAACTGGGAATAGACTTATTTGGCATTTGCAGATGATGTGGTACCTAATTTTAACAGAAAACTCTGGAAACCTTTGCCTATTAGCTGAAAACTTTATTAAAGAATGTAAGAAGATAGGATTAGAGCTAAATGAAGAAAAAACTAAAGTTGTTCACTTTGGCCGAAACGTTAACAATATAGAGATGTAAATTTCCACATTGCCAACTATTCAATTAATTGTGGGGAGAGCTTTAAATATTTAGGAGTTAACGTGAATAGTTCGAATTCTGAAGATCTGGAGATATACAAAGTAAACTAGCAAATGCCAATAAGAGCGTTGGGGCCTGTACAAAACTTTTATCATCCAAACTATTATCAAGATGTGCTCAAAATTAAGATTATACAGCCAGTGTTATTGTATAGAAGTGAAACATGGGTCCTCACCAAAAGAAATGAAGGATGTTTGATTTAAAATAAGGTACTTCGTATAAGGTACTACGTAAGATATTAGGCCCAATTTATGAAGAAGGAGTTTGGCGGATAAGGAAAAATAGAGAGCTGCGTGCCCTATAAAAAGAGCCTGACAATAGTGCAGCTTATAAAAGCCAAAAGAATTAGTTGGCTAGGTCATGTACTTCGGAGACAGGATGGCACAAGACTGAAGGAGGTTTTTGAGGCCGTACCTACAGGAAGACGTCCGTTGGGTAGGCCTAAATTGAGATGGTATGACCAAGTCAAAAAGGATGTGATCCAATGCGGAGGAGAAATCCGGATGGCGGAGGATAGAGAAGAGTAGAGGCGGCTACGAGGCAAAAAATCAACTGAGATTTGTGACGCCCCATCAGTATGTGTAAGTAAAACATCATTTTGATAATTAAAGAAAAAATACTGACTAATAGGTTATAGTTGAACATTAAAAACGTTCAATAAAAAAACCATAATAACTGATATAAATTGTGGAACATGTACGGTACATACCAAAACTGCATGCAGAATGCGAATATCGTTTTGAAATGCTGTGACATTTATCTGGGGGAGTGTAGTGTTCCCATTTGATGTTGAAATTCACAAGACAGCGATTGAAGTTGTTTTTCTTATGATGAAGTACATCTGAAAAAAATTTGACAAGACTGACAACTTAGGTAGATTTTGTGGTATCCTACAAACAGAAATTAGAAAGGATGGTTGTTTCAAACAAAAATTAGGCTACACACTAGGCCTACTTTGTATAGATAATGGAAGTAAGTTAAATGGAAGTAGGCCCCTAACTAGGTATGCGCTTAGGGACTGTCGTGAGTTTGGATCCTGACTGCATGTTACCATGAAGTACTGCATGTAACCATAAAATACTTCATGTTACCATTAAGTACTGCAAGGCTACCTACTACTTTTTATCAGTAGGCCTACACTTTACCCTTGTGCTGTACTGGTTCACCCCTTGCTTTGCTGGATATACGTTCCTTATCCTATGAGGACAGGCAAATTTAAGGTTAAAAGAGGTCGTCGACCTCTAAAAAAAATTTCAATTGAACTGTACATGACTACAACAATATGAGTAGGTACCGTAATGAATAGCCTAAATTTGTCTTTAAATATAAATTCTTAAAAGGAGACAAAAAGATCTTTTATCTCAAAGCTGAATAACTTAGGCCTATAGGGTGCTGCGCTACTGAAATCTATCTTTGCTAAACCTAGACTAGACCTACCGGAAGATATATTTTTTTCAGATTTTGGTCCACTTACTTATCAGATAATTCCGGCTTCACTGACTGTGGCTAAACTAAGGTTACTGTAACGATATCTCTATGGCTGCTTAAGCCTTCATTTTGTCTTCTTCCACCACACTAACTAATATTTTTTACAGTGTTAGGGCCTAATACCAAATAAGACTAAGAATAAAGAATGAAGAAAACAAATAAGTTAGGATATGGTTTAAACTAACATCAGTTTCTAGGCTAAGTTTAGACGTCAATAAAAGGTCTGGAGAACTTTACCTAATAGACCATTACCATGCTACAATTGTGAACCTTTTTGTCTTCTTATTAGCCTAGGTCTCCGCATTTACCTAGGTAACTTGGGCCTACCTACAAAGTTAGACCTTTATCATACTACTCTAACTTAGAACTAGCCTAGTAGGTACCGGTAATGAAAGTTAGGCTACTATCAATCTCGATCAATTCATTGAGAGAGCAACACAATGGAACAATTTATATTGTTGTTGTTATCATATATATATTTATTGTTGTTATACTTATATATATATTTATACATATTTATTGTTATTGTTACATATGTACTATTTATTGCTGGGTTGAAATGTTTACAAAAATGTATTTAAATTCTACAGTCACCTAAGAGAAATATTGTTATGTCTAGACTATAAAATTGGAGATGTTCCGTTGGTATATAAAATAAATAAATAAATAAATAAATAAACAAATTTGGGTGCATGTTTTAAGCTGAATATGAAAGGTAGAATGGAGTAAGATTGTGTAGGCCTACATTTATTTGTTAAAAGTTTGACTATAATATCAGATGTTTCGTTAGTCAGGACTAACTTAACATAAACGCAGAGGATACGCGTGGCCGGTAACCGAACGTGGATTAGGCGTCTGGCATTGACGTCACTGGGTTGTGGGGCCCCGGAACACCACTACCACAACGATCCGATGTACATCCATCGGTGTTCGTGGTGTAGTGGATAAAGTACTTGGCTAATGTAAGAGGTATCTAGATTGAATCCCATCGGTGACACTAACTTATTGTCAAAGATTTTGCTTAGAATGCCATTTCTTCTTAACTGTACATCTTTTAATAGAACTTGAGGCATTTATAACTTTATTTTATGAACAGAATTTAACCTTCATTCGATTTTTTCATTAGCCTATCGGCAAGTTTGGTTAGGTTATGACAGTACCTAACTGCCAGACGCCTAACCCACGTCCGGTTACTGGACATGTATCCTCTGCCTATTATAAAAGCCCAGTGATGAAGAACAGCTGGGGCCCAGTTTCAAACCATCAAAAAGCTAGGCCTACTGATTTTTCTTAGGATCGAAACCAGCGACATTCTTACTAAGTGAGCACTATAAGTTAAAAGCACTCAGTTACCGTATCTACAGGCCCTACCTACCTCACTTATGGTTTTGAAGTTAAAAACAGTAAAAATATACTCACTGACAGCACTTTTATTCCAGCGTTTACTGACCAACATACATTTCTTCAGATCATCATAAGGCCTCAAAAGACACAAAATGTATTCTAGTATTTCATCCGGCAAATCGTTTACATGGCACCTTTCTGAGTCCAACGGAAAATCAAATTCCTCAGTATAACTATCCATAACTTATCAATGTCAATTATAACTTAAGTTTAATCTGAGCAATGTAGACCCTATAACTTGACCCTATAACTTGAGGGTAGCCTATAAAAATGGGCACCCGCACAGTTAACCTAGCCTAAATATTCCAATGTAATTTCCCATTCTACTTGTTATTAGCATCACCTGTTTCACCAATCACTAAAACTATTACAACCTATACACTATGAATTAAAAGTTCGAAAACAATTCTCAATTTTGATAAATAATAGGCTATCAAACAAAACACGAATATTCCCGGTGTTTTTTAAGTTGGTCTTGGCTAGGTCAACAACAACAACTTCAGCTTCAGCTTCAGACAGATCGAGATCAGAGACGTTGACGATGACGTTCCACTGTTCCAGAGATCCAGACAGCAAGCAAAACACAAAAATTTACAAATTCAGATCATTCAATAATTCAATACACCACTATAGCAAACCGCAAGCAAGCAAAGCAGTCGAACTGAACAGCTGGGAGCTGGTGGAGCTTGGATCAACATCTGCAAATTAATTCTGCATCTGATTGAGATTCTGATTCTGATAATATGACCGTCACATTGTGAAATACACGGATTCGGATTCTATCTTCGACGTTTTTACAAAAGTCGCAAATGACAGGTAGTTGGCACAACTGATCACTGATCCCTAGTATCGTTTTCTGCTGGGATAATGGAAATAAGATTCTAATATTATTGTAAGATTGAGGATATTTATTTCCACTTTTATATTTGACTAGCTGTAACCCGCGGGCTTTGCCCCGTTTAACTTCTTAATTTTCAAGATTATCTCGTTTTATGGCTCAATCACGTCCTGGTTGAAGTTTGTTCGCTACGCTCACTCACCTTTAGGTTGGAGCTCGTTCGCTACGCTCACTCACCTTTAGGTTGGAGCTCGTTTGCTGCGCTCACTTGCCTTCAGGTTAGCTCGTTCGCTACGCTAACTCCCCTCCAGGTTGAAGTTCGTTCGCTACGCTCACTCACCTTTTGGTTGCAAATTAGCTGTTTTCATAAATGTAAAATAAATAATAGTGCTGCACCCTGTTGGTAATCCTTGTATCTTTAATGCTATTGAACATCATAGAACAGAACCAACTTGTTTAATTGAAACAGCTGTTAAGATTCAATAATTCCATTTCTCATAAGGTTAACATGGGAAACTCCAGAGCCACTGGGGCGGAGCCCGAAAGGATTTTTGAAATAAGAATATGCCTATATGTTAATCGGGAATGTGAGCTATCATCATGCCAAATTTCAGCCCAATCCGTCCAGTATTTTTCGCGTTCACTTGTCACAAACATACATCCATACATCCATACATCCAAACTTTCTCATTTATAATATTAGTAGGATTATATTATGATGGTTTAAAAAATTGATAAACTAACCATTGTCTTTCAATAATACAAGTATACTACTCCTACTATTAGAAAAACTGAAGATTGTGGCTATATGTTCGGCTATATGCTAATGTGCAATGTGGAAATATAAATTAACTAGTTATTTAGTTATTTTTACATACAAAATTCGTATTATTTATAATGTCATTTGCATGCGAATAGCTCAAATTACGTGTGGTCGGCGGTCGGCTTGTGAAAAAGTCGTGCTCGTATATAGGTGGTGTTACAAGGGAGTGGTGCTGCTATCACTATACTAATCAAACTTGTATTCCACAAACTGTCTTGTGGTTTTTTGGACCGTTAGCTGTTTACTTTGGAAAAATAAAACAAAAGATGTGTTTGTGTTATTGTATTTGGTAGGTAGTGTAGCCTAATAGACACTTTAGCAACAGTACAAATTTGTATTTCTTTTATTCTCCCCCTATACCATAGTATATGGAGAAAGTACCGGTATTGTTTTCGTCAAAATTTTTGAGTTTAGGTTTTGAACGGATATATCCGTTTTGGGTCCCCCTGGACCCAAAAAAGTGGTTTTCGAAGTGATGTCTGTGTGTGTGTGTCTGGATGTGTAGCATACACTACAGAGCTAGGGACTACACCTGTGGTCCGATTTCGATGAAATTTGGTGTGTATCCATGGTATCTCCAGGCTTTTTTTATATTTTAGAAATGTAATGTTGATTTTCCCATAAAAACCCATAAAGTAACGTACAAATCGGATTTTCTCAAAAATGGCCCAAACTATTTTGATAAAAATGTAGTATGTTGTAGCCCTTAAAATTCTGAACAAAATGGTAGGTCTACGACTCCTATTTCTGTAAAAATTACGGTTCAAAAGTTACTGTAACCTATTATTTACCCATTTAAAAAAACAGATTCTTGGAGAAAAGCTGGTTTTGGTCAAAATGTTATGGTCCTTATAATTCTAAAAATAATAGTACAACACCCCATTGCTGTAACAATTAATTACGGTTCAAAAGTTATTGCAACTTTTATGATTTGTAACTTTAAAATATCATATTTTTACTCTCCGCTTACATGATAAAGGTTGTTGACAAGCTTGTGGGAGAAAGTATGTGTCAGTCAGAATGCTGATACCGTTTAATTACATACATATGACAGCTGGCAACTTGACCCTAGGACTGCCTTCCGCCGTTAGACGTATGTCGTGTGCGCTCGGTGCCAAACCGCCGCCATTTTGCTGGTGGTTCGGTTCGGACATTTTTTCCATCGTCCCATTCGTCCCAATAGAAAAAATTATTTTCTTCTGGAAGCCGCAATTGCACCAATCGATATCAAATGGCAATATTTTAAAAACGTTAATGAAAATATATACAGAAGAGTTTGAATGGGCAACATAATCAGAAAAGCATTTGTCGGCAAGTATCTTGCACCTGGCTCTAGCTGGCTCTACTAAACTCCACGTAGTCGGCACGTAGCAACGAAGATTTGTACTGAGCATGAAGTGACTCCTTGAACACGACTAGTTTTTTTTCAACTCGGCATTGAAACCAACATGGAAAACGCGTGGCCCCAAGTTTCTTCATAGGGGTGAACTGTAGAACTGTAAATCTGATAGTTTCCAAGAACCAGCTGAAGATGCCATCTTGCGTTCCTGGAGTAGACTACTGTCGGGGAAAAAAGTTTAGACACTCGAGTTTGGAGCTCTACAGAAAAGTAACCTACTAACATAGAAAACACGTAGTATATATAAATTTTCGTTGTTTTATTCTACGTATTCCTGTGAAAACAAAAATTTTTTAGCTCGTTTAGGGACAGTCGGAAGGTAAAAACTGCCTGTTTTTAGAATACCAAAAACCATCTTATGACTTTGAAAATTCGCACAATGTAAACTAAACGGCAGAACTGTATCAAACTTTAATACAATATGGACACATATATAATGAATTAATTTGAGTAGTTTCAGAATTTTTACTCTACCCAAAAAGTTTTTGTTGTAACTTTTGTAAATCAACTTTTCTCAAAATGGCAAACGCTAGAAAAAAATTAAAAGCTTGTTTCGAAGGTGATTGTTTTTGTATTTGAAATATTGATACTGCTCAACCAAATTGTTCCGCATGTTATTTATATAAATTAACAAAATCCTGGATGATCTCGCGCCTGCAAGGGGTGCAGACACCATCGCCCGGTCAGGAATCCAGTGCAGTGTTGCCACGATGGACCTTGACCGAGCGTAGGTGATTCACGCAGTGTGTGTCACTGACTGACTCACAGGAAATATAATGTTTTGCATTCTTCCAAAGGGTCGAAAGTATTACCACCCCAAATATAGGTGCTAAATCTAAATTGTCAGATTCGGAATATGCAATGATTGTCAGTACTATATGTTTTTTTTTAGAAGTGTGGGAGTGACGTTGAAGGTCCAAAGCCCTCATTAAAAAAGGTGATGGGAAATGGTTAATAATTAATAATAACTGCTGTTCAGTTTTGACAACAGTTCGCAGCCCATCGCTGCTCAGTGTCCAGGTGTTCAATTTGGCAACACTGTACGGGGTATGCGCCCAGTCAGAGCCGGTGGCGGTCTGGAAGTGCCGTATTCGGCCTCTGCACTATCCAAATTAAATGTTAATTTATATAAATAATATGCGTAACAATTTGGTTGAGCAGTATCAATATTTCAAATACAAAACCAATCACCTCCAAAACAAGCTTTTAAATTGTTTTCTAGCGTTTGCCGTTTTTGAGAAAAAGTTAATTTACAAAAATTACAACCAAAACTTTTTGGGTAGGTAGAGTAAAAATTCTGAGACTACACAAATTAATTCATTATATATGTGTCTATATTGTATTAGTTTGATAAAGTTCTCTGACGTTTAGTTTACATTGTGCGAATTTTCAAAGTCATAAGATGGTTTTTGATACTCTAAAAACAGGCAGTTTTTACCTTCCGACTGTCATAAAAAATTTCCTAAACGAGCTAAACCTTTTTTGTTTTCACAGGAATACGTTTAGAATAAAACAACGGTTATAGAATAAAACAACGAAAATTTATATACTACGTGTTTTTCTAAGTTAGTTTGGTCACTTATTTTCTGTAGAGCTTCAAACTCGAGTGTCTAAACATTTTCCCCCGACAGTAGTAGACTGTACCCAATTTGTTGAGGAGACTCTGATATATCATATCAAGATCATATCTGTTGAAGTCAGGGACATAAACTTCGCATTTTGATCGGCAAAGGTATCCACATTTAGGTCAATGGATAAAACTGGGTGGTGAGTATCTTTAAGAGTTAGGATATTATCCAATGCATGTGAGACTTTTGTAGAACTAGACGAGGAAAAGACCAGATCAAGAGTGACTCCCCTGGCATTATAGGCACATTGTTAACTTCATTAAGGGAATGGAGATTTGCCAAGTCAGTCTTCTAGAGGAGTTGCAGGACGGCATAATTATGTTAGCAGTCCAGTTTACATGCGGTAGGTTGGAGTCACCAAGGAAGGAGACACATGAAGAAGTTGGGCCCGGTTGATAAGATCTGATCGACACCTTCACAAAAGTGATCATAATCAGCCGATGCTCTCTGTGTGCGTATGTAAGTGGTTACAATCAGCATATTTATTAGAGGGTTTATCTGGAGAATTCAAAAAATACATTCAATATCGGGGACAGGAGATGGCAATTCCCCGCCTTGGCTTTAAATTTTGATTTGATTGCAACAAAAGAACTCCTCCTCCACTGCATTTGTTGCTGGTTAAGCAGGAACGGTCCTTCCTAAATATTTTGTAGCCAGGAGGAACAATTTCCTGGTTCAATGCCATCTGAAAGATTAGTTTCCAGCAAAACAACAATATCGTATAGGGTCATGGATAATAATTTGCTTAAAGTTGCCAGCTTATCGCGGAGTCCATTGACGTTTTGCATATACGCTTGGAGGTTGTTGCGATCGTGCGTGACTAGTTTTTTTTTTAAATCTTAACAATCTTAGGTACTCCATTACGATATTAATCGTGAGATCACTGAGATCAGTATTTTATTTTATTTTATTTTATTTTATTTTATTTCATTTTATTTTATTTCATTCCAACGGCAAAACCATTATACATTTCAATACAAGAAAGATGGCTAGGTACTATTTACATACTAAAAAAAATTATGCTAAAAAAGTATCGCCAGTATTCTTTCGCGTTTCCAGAGTATCACGAAGTTCCTTGAGATGCCTTCTCTCATCGTTAGTCCTGTCTCTGGAGACCTTAACATTATGTATGTTCGCCTGGTATTTAATTGAAGTTGTTAAGAATAAATTCTAAAACATTAGAAAATGATGTAAAATCGATGTCAAAAGATTCTATATTCAATGCATTCAATATTATGACAATGAAAACTGTCTGCATGCTATACCAGCTGAGCAATATGTGTTAATATAGTTCAATCTTGCCAACCTATCGTAATTGGTTGATGTGATGTCGTTGTCGTTATGTGTGTCAAACTTGGCAGACTGAATTTCGTTTATTATCTGACTGTTTCTAGCTAGACTTCTAGTTTCTGGTATCTGTGTCGCTCCATCTGTCTTATTGTTTTTCGCATGTTAGTGTATATATGTGTTTGTAAATCAGTGGATTTGTGTCAATATTTACCTAGATAAGAATGTAAATATTAATGGACGAGTGATTTTTATAATCTGTGATGTAGTTTGGGCTAATGGTGCGTTCTAACTTTCTGTATATGTTGACAATCTTGTGAGCTGTGTAGGCTGGAGCAAGGCACTCTACATCTACCAGCTAGTAATGGCGCACCGTCTCTGAACAGTATATTTAAAAACATTCCTAAGTTTCATACATAATGGCTCACGCTGCTGGAGTGTTATCTTCGGACATCAGCCGTAGAAACCCACAAGATGAGTATGAGTTGATTCAACGCATCGGTAGTGGAACATATGGAGATGTATACAAGGTGTGTACCTTACCCTTAGGCCTCCTACCTTGTTGAAAGATTCTACTTAAGTTGTTAGATTATAGCCTTGATTTTCTTTATTTATAACTAGTTCATCAGTACACAGGGATGCCACAAGACCTGTTTTAACCATAAACAAGTTACAAGCTCCTCAGTAAGGGTAGAGAATTGAACAAGTTCCAAGTTAGGCCTAAAGACTTGGTATCAAAAACTCTTTAGGCTTATCAAATATTGTTGCACATACGCTCTGTGCAATAGGGCCGAGTTAAAAAAAAATTCAACCCTCCACAATAAGTATATAAATAGGGCCTATTGCACAATGCATCTAATTCTGTAGCCGACTAAACATAGCCTAGTCCAGGGATGGAACAAGGCCACACTAGAAAAACAGGTCGTAATGCTCGTCAAACATGACGTCACAATAGAAGACGGCAATAACGTAGGTACCATATTTATTTATTTATTTTCCAAGAAAAGATTAAAATAAGCAGCTGATCATAAACGGCAAACATTACGTCATTGCCGTCTTCTATCGTGACGTCATGCTTGACGAGCATTACGGCCTGTTTTTTTAGTGTGGCCTTGGATGGAATCAGCCTAAGGACATAATTTTGTTTTGTAGGCCTAGTCCTTCAATTCTGATTGGCAAAGTGATTATCGTTAGGTAACTTACCTAGGCCCTAATGAGGGCATGACATTACCCTTTGAATAGGTATAGGCTTCAATCAAACACGTAACCTACCTCCCGCTCCAAAGTCCAATATGCTAACAGATGAGCCAGCAACACACCTTTCATGCATTTTATTTCCGGTCTTGTTTAAGCATAGGCCTATGGGAAATTCGCTAAAAGTGATTTTAGAACGTTTAAGCTGGGGTCTGGGTCCTAAATAAGTACCTTTATTGGAAAGAAACGTAATTGGGTAAGTAACGGATCCCTGAGGCTCATAGGTTTTATAGGTACCTTTTAGGAATACAGTTTGCTCCATTCAGAGTGAGAAGGAGAATAGGCTACGCCTACTTCTTGCCTCTCGCTAGAATTCACAGGTGGAAAGAGCCAGTGGCGGTTCTACAAAATTGTCAAGGGGGGACTAACTTACCGGGTGGTTTGGGATTTCCAAGAAAGGAGGGGTTTCTGGGGGTCCTCCCCCTGAAAAATTTGGTGTTTTAAAGCCGTTTGGGGACATTCTATAGGCCTAACTATTAACTATTAACCTATACTATTAACCTCTAGAACCGTGATCGATAACCTCAGTTACGTTTTTAAGACGAAATGAGGCCTACGTTTAAATTTTTTTCCCAGGGTCCAATAAATTTGGCCCCTGTATTCACCCCTTGGAACCGCCACTGGAAACACACCATAATCACCAAAGCCTACTCTTAACTTAATCTTTTTAGAAGCTCATTATGTGGTGGTAGGCTATGTTAACGTATCGTAACTCTTGCTGCAAGATCTGTAGTCATAGATTCAATACCTCAAAGGAATCCAGGTTCTTACACTAGAGTTTCAAACATAGTCTACCAGAAAATTGGACTATTTATATGGACTATGTATATGGCTTTAAGTAACTTTTAAGTTTGTGGTAGGCTACCTATCCCTTTTATGAGTGACACATTTCTAGATGGTTTTAAGGCATCTAGGAAATATCCCTTTACATCCATTTATTCAACTCAATTCTGAAAGAAAATGCTAAAAAAAATTTTATCCTACCTAAGTAAATTTAATCATGCAGTTAATTTCAAGAAACTTTTATTCTCTCACTGGCTGACTAGCTTCAAATCTCTCTTGGACTGATAAAGGTCTATCTATCAGGTCATAGGATCATATTTCCAAAAGGGCATAGAAATACTTATGGTTTCTTAGACAGTCAGGTGTACACTCATCTAGATCTCCTGTAACTTTTGGCCTTTTGATGTACCCTTGGTCTGGCAACATAGCCCACTACCAACTCTCAAGCTTCAATGCGATCTTGCACTGAACATTTATCGAAGGGATATTAGTGGATTCATTTTAGCAAAGCTAATTACATATCTGTTGACATTTAATAGCTCTCGGATAGGCCTATTAGCTATGGAACCTGATTCTCTCATCTTCACATGCGTTGCGAGACTACGATCTGAAATGCCAGAGTAAAACATTTAAGTGTCCATAACCTAGAATTGTACCAATAGATGTGTTGTAAATTCTAATGTTTTTTTTCTACACTGCTCAAGATAGGAGGAACCGTTTGGACAAGAGATGTTACTACAGGTTTTTTTCTTTGTTTGCACAACTACAGATTGTTATACGGCACCATTGACGGTACACATTAAAGACACTTTGTGATAAAATATCCATACAGTCGTGGCTCAGGCTCCTTTTATATTCTGCGGCGCCCCACACATTTAATGTATTTTGAAGTTTGAAAATGGACTAATGTCTGAAACATGTCACTTCTTTTTATAAAATATAATATTCAGGGTGCTCAGTTGTACATATTTACTTAAATATTTAATATATCAGCAGCCCTATTAAGTGAACACCTAAATTGAAAAATTTATATATATATATATATATATATATATGTGTCCGTTAGCGTGATGACTCGAGCAAAAATGATCCGATTTTGATGAAATTTGGTACAAACGTGTAAACCTACGTTTATTTGAACGAGTTCGCGAACCAGCATAATCGGACCATGGGAACAGGAGTTTATGGGGGGTTTTATGGGGTAAAAATGGGTTTTTCCCATTTTAGCGAATTTCCCTATAGGGAAGTAGCTATTACCGTAGGTGGCACGGTAAGACCTAGACCCGGGACCAATTTATTTTTTCATTTTGATGTCCCCAGAGGCCAAAAACACCATTCGTTCAAATTTTTATATATGTATATATATATATATATAGACTTATATATATATATATATTAAGTATGCATGGAATAAAAAATACTGAATTAAAATGGTTCATATCATATTTAAAGACCCGAAAACAAAGACTTATTTTACAAAAAATGCAGAGAAATTATAAATCAGAGTGGAACATTAACCCCAATGGAGTTCCTCAGGGCTCCATTCTCGGCCCTTGTTTATTTATTATTTATGTTAATGATCTATGCAATGCTACTAAGATGTCCACCTTTCAATACGCAGATGATACCGCTTTAATATGCACAGGACAAAACAATGAGTTCATTCAAGCCTCAATAACTAAGGAATTTCAACTCCTTGGGGATTGGTTTGCAGTAAATGGCCTGTCCATGAATGTGGCAAAAACTCAACTAATTCAGTTTTCTGCATCCAATATTAACCAAGAAATAATTGTAAATACAAACTTAACTACAATTCATTCACAACAGTCAATAAATTATTTGGGAATAGAAATTGATTCACAACTTAATTGGCAAAAACACATTAAAAACCTATCAAAAAGACTACGCTCAGCAACATTTGTTCTCACAATAATTCGGGATACTACTAATCTAGAAACACAAATAGTAGTATATCACGCATATTTTTCATCGATTATGAATTATGGAATTACTGTATGGGGCTCATCAAGCCAGGCCAAAAAAATATTTATTCTCCAAAAAAGAGCTGTAAGATTAATGGCCAGAGTCTCCCGTAGAACACATTGTAAAGATTTATTTATTAATTTTAAAATTTTAACTTTTTTTAGCTCTTATATTTACAAATTGGCATTAATGGTTAAAAGTGATTTCGACACATTCATGGACTGTCAACAATCTCATCCACATAACACAAGATTCAAAAATATTATAAAACCAGTTCAACATAGGCTTAAAATCTTTCATTTATCCCCTCAGTATATGGGAACAAAAATTTACAATAAATTACCCGCTGGGATTAAAAACATTGCCTCATTCTCTAAATTTAAACTATCTTTAAAAAATTTCCTTTTGGAGAGGGCATTTTACTCGTTAGAGGAATATCTGGAAAATGAGTATATTTGAAAGATATTGCTTCTCCCATAGGTTTGTAGCTTATTATATGCTTTATTTCTTTTGTAAGCTATTTTATTTTAAAATGTAGTATAGTATTAGTATTAGACTTTGTGACAAATCACCTGTCAAGAGAATTGATGTAATGTGATGATGTTTAATAAATAAATAAATAAATAAATATATATATATATACGTCCGTGAACGCTATAACTTGAGTAATTTTTGTCCGATTTTGATGAAATTTGGTTTAAAGGTGTAAAGCGGGATAAACTTGAATGAGTTCGCGAACCAGCGCGATCGGACCATGGGAACGGGGCTTTACGGGGGGTTTTATGGGGTAAAAATTGGTTTTTCTCACTTTTGACCCTCAAAACACAAAATTTCCCGATTTCTCTTTAGACCTTTTTAAAGAGCTTAAAAAAACAAATAATTTAGTATAAAAAGTATTTTTGTTCAATTATTAGTAACGGAGAAAATTAAAAAAATTGTAAATTTAAAATTCCCATGTTATTCTTATGGAGAAATTTGTCAAATGTTGTAGTTTGCTTGTTTATGGATATATTTTGATCAAACTTGGCAAATTTATTTATTTTGTACTAAGCTATCAATATTTTACTCAAAAACACACTTTATTAGTTTCCTTGTAGCAGCAAACCTAGATAGCCTACTCGTTAAACCTAATGTTATTAAAATATATTTAACTGAAAATCAATTCAGACAAATGGAAATTCGCTTAGTCGGCAGGTTTGCTGCGGCGGGGGTATTTTACCCTAAAAACAAAAAATTTTGCAATTTCTTTTTTAACCATTTTGTAGAGCTTAAAAAAAGAAATAATTTAGTATATTGAAGCGCTGTTGTATGCCTAACGATCACGGAGAAAATAAAAAAAAGTGTAATTTAAAATTCCCATGTTATTCTTAAGGAGAAAATGAAAACTGTTGTAGTTTACTTGTTTATGGATATATTTTGATAAAATTTGGCAAATTTATTTATTTCATCCTATACTATTGACATATGGTCAAAAAACACTTTTTACCTTCCCCGTAGCAGCAAACCTAAG